CCCACCTCTCCATCCCCACTTAAATCCTCTAGTGGTTTCCCATCACCCCACAAACAAAATCCCAGCTGCTGACGGGACTCCCCACCAACTATGTGCCCCATGCCCCAGCCCCTCTATGTCACCAAAGACACACTGGCCATCAACCTCTTGAAACCCTGCTCCAGCACCTCTTAGAACCCACTTCACCCAGTTCTCACTGATACAAACACTCCTCCTTCATCTAAAGATGTATTTGTGGTTTTTTAAATATTTATTTGGTTACCTCAGGCCTTGCTTGCAGCCCATGGGCTCAGTGGTTGCCATACGTAGGCTTAGTTGCCCTGCTGCATGTGGGATCTTAGTTCCCCAACCTTCGGAATCAAACCCGTGCCCCCTGCATTGCAAAGTGGATTCTTAACCACTGGACCACCAGGGAAGTCCCTTAAAGATGCTTAGAATCTACTAAGTCAAAATCAGTAACAACTAGATGTTTACTAAGCTTCAGGTACATTTTCAAAATAGCAAAAAAAAAAAAAAAAAAGTGAAATTTATAAAATGGGAATCAGTAAATCTCCTTTATCTAAGGTAAATTAGCCACTGCTCGCCCTGTGGCTGCCTTCCATTTAACATACACGCACGTTTGCAAGCCATCTCCAGCTGCAGGCAAGATCCACGGCCTTCCCAGCACTCTTCCGAGCAGGTCCACTCTCAGCCCCGCTGCCCATCGGTGGTCAGGTGTGGGTGGAGGTGAGGACTGGAGAGTCAGAATGAGAGAAGCTGGCTGACCCCAATTTGAAGTCATGACAGCAAAAACAACTCCAGATTCCAGCAGAGGAGTCGTTGCTCAGACACAGAGTCCTCTCCTTCCTGGGCCTGGGCACCATTATCCCTGTCCCCTAGGGTACTCTCCCAGTGCTGCTCCGGCCCCACACAGCCACCCTCTGTGTGTGCCCCACTTGGGTGCCGCCTTCTCTGGTGCCTGCAGTCCTTTTTCTCCCTTCCCCACTGCTCTGCATTGCAGCCCCGTGGATGCCCTCTGGGCTGTCTGCACAAGCAGTGTGGCTTATGTGTATGCTTTACCCTGCTCCACCCTTCCTGTCTCGTGACCCTGGGCAAGGGAACGAAGCTTGGTTTCCCTGTGTATCTGATGGGGATGCTGATCATACCCACCACAGCCGGAGCAGGGAGAAGGGCCAGAGGTGTTCGGGGAGCACCAGGAAGGTCCTCCTCCCACCAGGCCTCACACAGCCGCCCAGCAGGGAGGGCCCCGTCAGTCTGCAGTACCACTGTTGCTCTGGCACCTGTGGGCACAGGCTCTGGCCCCCTGGGTAGACTCAGTACTTCTCTGAAGAACAAATGAACAGAATCCTCAAAACAGGCCCCTGGGCAGGAGGGCAGGGCCCATGACAGCCTAGGAGAGGGGGCTGGGGTCTCCGGGGGCACCGACTCTGCCGCATGCCAGCTCCCCAACTGCTGCAGAGAAATTTGTTGAAGGGCCCTTCCCCCAACTTGGAAGGAAGAAAAAGGGGAGGGGGGGATAAGAGAAGAGCTGCTTGGGTCAGATGATGCAAAGGGGGACCTGCCAGATGACCACAAAGTGAGAAGAACCATGCGTGGTGCCCAGGGAGATGAGGAAGCCGCTCATTCCTGCCAGACGGCCTGGCAGGAAGGCCTCGGGTCAGCCTTTCTCAAATGGTAAAGGCCAGGGACTATGAAGGGGAGGCCAGGCAGGGGAGAGACCAACTGACGGCGTTGCCGCCCCTCCACAGCAAGCAGCCCAAAGAAATCCCCTGGAAGTCTGTTGGGAGCCCCTTTGTGGTGGAGGCCACCGGTGTGTACCTGTCCTTAGAGGAAACTAAGGTAAGTTGGGAGGAGACACCCAGGGCTGCCTGGGTGGGGTGGCACTCGAAGCGCCTCATGACACTCTGCTTCTTCTCCAGCCCCACATCGAGGCAGGAGCCCAGCGTGTGGTCATCTGTGCGCCGTCTCCAGACGCACCCATGTTTGTCATGGGGGTGAACGAAAAGGAATATAACCCCGGCTCCATGAAAATCGTCAGGTAACGACGTATGGGCAGCAATATTCCGCAGGGTGTGCCTGAAGGACAAGCCTGGGGGTGGGGGGGTGGGGGAGATAGGAATCCGTCTCACCCTCACCACTCCCCCTTGGCCCCTGGTGCTGTCTTCACTTCACTCCACTTCTCCTTCCCAAGGTCTTAGCAGCTCTCTTGTTCACGTTACCCTAAAGCCATCAGTTAGAAATGCTCTCAGAACATGCTTGGGGAGCTTCCCCTCCACACTGCTCCCTCATCCCCAGCCCAAGTTTTCAGCAAACCAAGTCTGTGTGCAAACCCTGAGGGTTGGGCAAGAGGGGGAGGGGCGGCTCTGCGGCTCACCTCACGGTGCCCTGGCACTCCTGGCTGTTTCAGCAATGCATCCTGCACCACCAACTGCCTGGCCCCCCTCGCCAAGGTCATCCATGAACGATTTGGGATTCTGGAAGGGCTGATGGTGAGCTGGGGAGAGGGGGTGGGGCAGGAGACACAGCTGGGAGCCTGTATCTCTTCCTCCCGTACTTGCTACATGTGTGGAGTTAACAGGGAGAGGCTGGTTTTCTGGGTGGGGAGAAGCCCACCAGTGGTGACATCCTTTGAACTCTGGATCCTGCCTGCATGTGCTCCTCCTGTGGATGGGTGGTGGTGGCCCTGCCAACCTCCACACCTGGACCACTAACCTTGGGCCTGGGAAGAAGCAGCCTAGCAGCCGGGAAGGCCTCACCTTGGCCCTCTTCCTCCCCAAGACCACAGTCCATTCCTACACGGCCACCCAGAAGACAGTGGACGGGCCGTCAAAGAAGGCCTGGAGAGACGGACGTGGCGCCCACCAGAACATCATCCCAGCCTCCACGGGGGCTGCCAAGGCTGTGGGCAAAGTCATCCCAGACCTCAAAGGGTATGAGGGCATGAGGCTGCAACTGGGGTTGGGGGCGCACCCCAGGAGGACTGGACTGGCCCCCAATCCTGGAGGATTCCAGTGTGGGGAAAGCAGAGACAAGGGGGAATGATGGCAAGGCCCCTGCGTTCTGACTTCTGCCCCTGCTGTGGGTTTCTTCAGGAAGCTAACAGGAATGGCATTCCGAGTGCCAACCCCAGACGTGTCTGTGGTGGACCTGACCTGCCGCCTGGCCCAGGCTACCCCATACTCAGCCATCAAGGATGCCATCAAAGCAGCAGCCAAGGGGCCCATGGCTGGCATCCTTGCCTACACGGAGGATGAGGTAGGGGCTGAGAAGGAATCCTGGGAAGAGCCCTCTGGGGAGGGAGCGTGATTTTCCATTCGCCAAGGAGTTGTTTGCAGTGTATTAAGATAGGACCTGCAGGACTGGGAAGGTCAGCTCTCCCCACCAGATCAGGGTCTCTGCACTTGCTCCCCGTTGGTCTGGACTACTTTTCCCTCAGGTAGCCACAGAGTGAGTCCTCACCTTCTCCAAGTCACTACTTAAACCGCTCACCTCTTCTTTTTGTAGCCCTGGTCTTTACCTGAAATGTCATTTCATGGCCACTGTTGGCTCTGTTAGCATGAACACTCCGAGACAGTAGTGACCTTGGGACTCCTTTTTCACTTCCGTAGCTCCAGCCATCTTCCCAGGGCCTGGCATGCAGCAGGTGTTCAACACATGCTTAACGAACAAGACAAGGACTCCCATTTTTCAACACGTGCTCTGGGCCATCCCAGCCCATGCTTCCCTGTGAGGAATGGGTATCACCTCCCTCTGCTCCACCAGTCCACTTTGGTGCTGTCTCCCTGCTTTAGCTCCTTCAAGTCCACCCTCCCAGAGCTGCCGGGATCTCTTAGATCACATCATCCTCAAAGCTGGAAACCTTCCTGTAGCCTTCCACCATGCTAGGGTCAAACCCCCAGGGCCCTGGTGCTCCAGTTCCTTCCACCTCAGACCCTACTGAGGGGTGGAGCTGACCAGATCCTCCTAGTTGTCCAGAGCAGGGCTCACCACCTCCCCTCAAGGACCTCTGGCGACTCATTCCCCTTACAGGATTCCCAGGAAGAGATGTCTGTTGGTGCAGCATCAAAGGCTGTTTGCAGTCTGTATCCTTTAGCCTGGCCCCTACCTCCAAAGCCCCCCATGAGTCTCCCTCATACCCTGTCCCCAGAACCTGGACAGAGTGGGGCTCCATCAAACACTGTGCGCCCGAGAGAATGAGCTCCTGAAGGTCCTTCTTCTGCGACCCACGCTTATCTTTGAAATTCTGATGTTCAGGTCGTGTCCACGGACTTCCTTAGCGATACCCACTCGTCTATCTTCGATGCTAAGGCCGGCATCGCGCTCAACGACACCTTCATTAAGCTCATCGCCTGGTAAAGGGGGCAGGGGTCAGAGACCGTGGTGGGCAGAGTGGCAGCGGTCGGAAAGGTTCCCTTGAACCCCCTCCATCCCTCCCTCCCCAGGTACGACAATGAACATGGATACAGTTACCGGGTGGTGGACCTCGTCCGCTACATGTTCAGCAGAGACAAGTGAAGCAGGCTGGCCCGCCTCTGCTTCCCATTGCTCCCGGGCCGGAACCTGTTTCTCCTATCCCCGTCCTCGGCCCCCGCGGGGAAAGGTGGGAGTCCCCGCGCGAGGGGCCCGTGCCGCTGGGCCAGTGGTAAAATAAAAACCCAGAGTGCTCACAGCTGCGCGCCATGTCTCTGCGCCGGTCACGACGGGGTCGGATCCGAGATCCAGACCCGCGCCGCACGCGCTAGCTCGGTCCGGGCGCCCGAACCCCGATGCCGCTCCCGAGAGGCCGGGACGGCGTGGGCTCCAGCTCCGGTTTGGGGTCCTTGCTGGCCGCCACCGGGCGTCGCGGCGGAGCCGGATGACGTCAGCGCGCCGCGCCACGGACTCCGGCTCCCAGAAGGCCGCGCGGGCCGCGGCGGAGGCAGGTGGGCTCCAGGCCCGGGCTCGGGCGCCAGGCCGCCGAGGCAGAGAGGCGCCCTCCGGCGGGCCGGGCGGCCGTCGTCATGACGCTCTTCCACTTCGGGAACTGCTTCGCCCTGGCCTACTTCCCCTACTTCATCACCTACAAGTGCAGCGGCCTGTGAGTGCGGGGAGGCCGCGGGGCGGTGGGAAGAGGGGCCGCGGGACGGTGGGAAGCGGGGGCCGCGGTTCGAACCGACCCTTCACCGCCCACTCTCGCAGGTCGGAGTACAACGCCTTCTGGAAGTGCGTCCAGGCCGGGGTCACCTACCTGTTCGTGCAGCTATGCAAGGTGAGGTCGCCAGCGGTGCCGCGCTAGGGCTCGGGGGACCCGCGTCTCTGCCCCCGCCCGGACCCCCGAGGTGGGGCCACTCCCCACCCCAACCGAGTGCTCCAGAATGGCCGGGGAAGCCGAACTTCGAAGGGCTGGAACCCGAGGAGAGGTCCCCGAGCAACTTTTGTATAGCACTTTTAGTAAAACTGAAACATTCAATTACATGGCCAAGAGGGTTTTGGATACTAACTAGTAAGAGCCGCTGACTAACCCCCAAGTCCCACCAACACTGTTACCACTGCCCTGGTGGGTAGCCAGCCCCTGTGCCTCCAGACCTGACCTCGATCCCCTCTGATCACCACAGAACCCAGACTTCCAAGCCCTTGCCCTCAATCACCCCAGCTCCTGCCTTCTTGCTGCTCTCTGGTGATCCCTCTTCCACATGGAGCCCCCACAGAACCCCATTGTACTCCCCTCGACATACTAACTTCCCACCCAATCCACGTGGCTGCTCTCCCTCCCCTTGAGGTGACCTCTCTGTCTTCTGGTCTCAGATGCTGTTCTTGGCCACTTTCTTTCCCACCTGGGAAGGCGGCATCTATGACTTCATTGGGGTGAGTGGGGGCAAGGGAGGGGGAGGGAGTACAGGAGTGGGGGCCCCTGGCACCTGTGCTTACTCAAGCCTCAACCTGACCCACAGGAGTTCATGAAGGCCAGCGTGGACGTGGCAGACCTGATAGGCCTAAACCTTGTCATGTCCCGGAATGCCGGCAAGGGGGAATACAAGATCATGGTTGCTGCCCTGGGCTGGGCCACCGCCGAGCTCATTATGTCCCGGTGTGTGCAGCAGCCTGGAGCCCAGACTCCTGAGAAAGGACACCTGGGTTCCAGGGGGTGCTGGAGGGCGGGGGCTCACTCAGCTTCTGGGTGCTGAGGGTGCCTGGGTACTGGAGAATCCCTCCCTTTGCCTTCCTCAGCTGCATCCCCCTCTGGGTTGGAGCTCGGGGCATTGAGTTTGACTGGAAATACATCCAGATGAGCATCGACTCCAACATCAGCCTGGTACGCAGTCCCGCTTACCCCACACACACCTCCTTTGCTGGTGGCTCTACTCTTGATGCCCAGCCCTGACTCCCTGCTTCCCTCCAGGTCCATTACATCATCGCCTCTGCCCAGGTGTGGATGATAACACGCTACGACCTGTACCACACTTACCGGCCAGCAGTCCTCCTCCTGATGTTCCTTAGCGTCTACAAGGCCTTTGTCATGGAGTGAGCGGGGTGGGGTTGGAGGCCGGGTCCAGATGGGTCAGGTTTTCTCTTCTCCCTCCCTCATTATGCTGTTTCCCCCACAGGACCTTTGTCCACCTCTGTTCCCTGGGCAGCTGGACGGCACTGCTGGCCCGAGCGCTAGTGACAGGGCTGCTGGCCCTCAGCACCTTGGCCCTGTATGTCGCCGTTGTCAACGTGCACTCCTAGGCTTGGCATCCCAGACTTTCACATACCTTCTCCCCGTCCCCAGGTTCAGTGAAGTAAACAGTATTTGGAAAGTTGTTTCTGCCTCCGTTTCTCTCTTTGGAACTGTCTGCCAATGCTGTGCTCACCTGGGTCCCAGAGGCCCTCATTTTGGTTTTGGACCCAGGTAGACAAGCCGGGAAACTAGGCAGCATTGATTTGTCCTATGTTCCTGGACCAGCTCCTCTGCTCCTTGTTTTCCCTGAGTTGACTGAGGGCTTGTAGACAGTCTTTGAGCAGTGGCAGAGCCTGGGCCCTCAGGGAACAGGTGACAGAGGGGAGCTAGCATCCAAGAGATGATTCTTGAGAGCTTCTCCTCACTGCCTTAAACTGGCCGTCTCCCATGTGGCCCTTCCCTGGCTGGTCACCTCCTCAGCTCCTGGTCCCAAACCTTCCCCCATCCACCTTTTGTATGAGAACTAAGGGAATCTATATGAAACCCCATCTTACTAGTTCACCCTTCTCTGCTTACAACCATCTAGGGCTCCTCACACCAGAGCAGTCCACTGGACCCTTGGTTTTATCTTTGAGGATCTATTTAGTGATTCTGAGGTCCTCAGTGCATTGACTCATTTCTGTGGCCCTAGGATTAAACCGTGGCCTGAGTCTTCTTGGGGTGGAAAACAGAGACAGCTGCAGCCCAGTAGCAGAGCCCACCAGTGTGGCTGTTACCCTGAATACCACCCTGCTCATCCCAGTCCTTCCATGGTCAAGTGAGGCCAGCTTCCTTCTGCTTACCTCCCCTTCTCTAAGGGGGATAGGTTAGAAACAGGGTGTTGAATGGCATTCTTAAGCTCCACCCAGCTGCAAACCCTGACCACATGGGAAGGTGCACTCCAGCCCTGGTGTTCCCAGTGGGATCCCCCAGGACATGAGATAGAGCAGGTGCCCCTTCCCTCCCTCTCTCTCTCCTTCCCTTCCTGCCTCTCTCCCTTCCTGTCTCCCTCCCTCCACTAGGCTCTCCAGGTCCTGCCATAATGTTACTTGCCCTGGGGCCTAGGAAAGCACCAAACAGATCTGTGCAGCTCTACTCTGAGTCTTGGTGTTTCCAGAGGCAGCATTTACCTTCAGATGGGGCACCCACCATGTAGCCCTCCTTCTCATTGCTCCTAGTCAAGACAGGGTTCCCAGGGGCCTTGGGATGGGGTGGGGAGGGGAGTGAGAGGTCACCATGAGTTTGATAAGAAAAGGGGGTGGATGGGGCGCTCCCCAAGCCCACATGGGTGGATGTATAAGGGCATTGCTTTCTCCCGTACCCCCCTCCCATGCCCCACCTAGCCCTGAGCACATACAGGGAAGGTTGCAGAAATGACTATTCAACAACTATCTGCTGAGCAGGGACTCTGATCCAGGTCTCCTACTGGTGGCCATCTGTCTGTGAAGTAGTCCCAGTCCCAGCTTTCATGGAGCTCAGGGACTGAATGGGAGCATGCAAGCCAGAGGGATCAGGACTGATGGTGAACCCTGGCCAGGATGGTGGCCCTGGTAGGCTACAGTGATAAGGGCTGGGAAGGGAAAAGACAGCTGTCTGTCTCCTGGAGGAAAGGGTGTGTGAGCTGAGGCTTAAAGAGGATGAGTTCATGGGGCAAAGAGAAGAAAGTGGGTGTCAAGGCCCTGCTTTTCAAGGAGTTAAGTCCTTGAAATCAAGAGAGAGGGCCTGGCCTTTCCAGTGAAACAAGAACTGGTTGGAATGAGTTCAGGGAGCTGTGTGTTTTTATCTTGCCAGGTGGGCTGGGGGTGGGGAGTAGGGAGATGACCAGTGAAAAAGGAAGGAGTCCAGGGTAATAGAAGTGTGGTGTTGGTGAGCACCCCTGCGGGCTCACGACGTTTCCCAGGGAGAAGGAGCCAGAATGACAGGAGCAGGTTTGGAGGATGATGCAGAGGCCAGTGTAGGCCCCCTTGAACATGCCAGGGGAGGCTGGGGACAGATGTGGGCATCACTGCAGAGACAGCTGAGGCTGGTAGGGGTGTGGGGACTGTGCTGATGAGGAAAGAGAAGCCTGGGGTCCAGCTAGAGAGACTTGTCAAAGAACAGGGAAGAGAGGCAGGAACGAGGACTGGGGAAAGGAGTGGCAAAAGTAGGTGGGGACTGTGGACGGGAATTTCCAACAGTTGGAGGATTAACTTTTCAGGTGATGGGGTGTGAGGAGGGGACCTGTGACTTTTAGCCTCCAGGAGTCGGTTGGGACTAACCAGCAATAGGGTGCCCACTGCAGCTGCAAAGGTGTAAGTGGAATCCAGAAACTCCTGTGAACAGGGAGGGGCTGCTTCAGGTGGAAACGACTCTTGACACCTGTTGAGGAGCCTCCAGAGATGGAAAGGGGTACTAAGAAAGGAAAGCCCAGAGGCGGTGTTTAGCTAGTGGTACAGTTTAAAGGCACTATTCTGGAGCGTGCCCATGGTCACACCAGCTTGCCCAGAAATGCTGTCACTCTCGGCAAAGAACTGGGAATTCCTTCTCCCAGGCAACGTTTACTGAGTACCTACTATGTGCCAGGCTGTGTTCTAGAAACTGGAGATAACAGCCTGGAACAAACAGCCCCTGAGTTGTAGGAACAAAGGGGCTCATGAAAAAAAACCAAGATGATGATGCCCAGCACCAAATAAAAGCACAGTCAGTATGAGCTGGTTTATTACTATCATGCAGACACAAGTGTGTTTTTAAAGAAGACTTGCTGGCCTGGAGTCCTAAGGAGAGACCCACCTCGTAGGAGCTGTGAACTCCCACTCCCCTTCAAAGCGCCCCCTACCCTTCAGGTGGGGGCTTCCCTGAGGCCAGCTCAGAGAACTGGGCTTAGGGAGGGAGGGTGGGAAAGGGGAGTGAGGAAGGTCTCTCCAAGGTTTGAGTTGTTGTGGGCTACAAGAGCTGACACAGATGGGGCTGGAGCTCGACTGCTCAGATGTTTTGGCAGCTGTTCAGAGGGTTCCAGGTGTCCCCCACCTCCACCCCTGCTGTAGTGGGTACAAGGATGATTTGAAGGCAGCGGTCCTTCTAATAGTAGAGTTCCTGGTCCCACCAGCCTGTGGGGGAGAAAGAGAGAAAAGAGACTCAGTGCTGGGGGTTTCGGGTGAGTATGTGGGAGCCAGGGGCTCAAAGGTGATAGCTCAGTGGTGGTTTCATATGGCAGGTCAAGGGTTTAGAGGTCAAGTACTGGAAATCAAACGTCAAGGCCGCAGCTCTAAGAAAGTTTCAGCCCTCCATCCCCAGGCCTCCAGGCTCCACACTCACTTCCTGGGCAACAGCGGACTCCAAGTTTCCGGATCTCATCATAGACAAAGATGAGGAGGCCAAAGGGCATGGGGACCAGCCACCACTGGTACCTGAAGGCACAGGCGAGATGGCAAGGTCAAGGCTACCCCAGGTCTGTATCCCGCAGGCCCACCCGATGCCCACGGCTCACAGCCCCTCACCGAATGGGCATGAAGTTGAAGATGTTGGGCATGCCAGGGCAGTAGCACAGGAAGCAGCCGATGCAGACCTGGAACACGATGGCAATCACCAGGATCCTGTTCCTGCAGGTGGGGCGGGCGGGACAAAGACAGGCCAGGAGGAGATGGGGACCAGATGGACACCAGGGAGCTGGGTCAGAGGGGGTCAGATAGCAGCTGCAGGGAGATGTTCTAAACACCGAACCCTGGCGTCCCCCACTGGACGCTGGCCCTACACCAGGAGTGGTCAGTATCACCCCTTTAGCTGATGAAACATGGAAGAGCCAGTTGAGATGCACAGGGTGGGAGCTCTTGGCCAGCTATTGATAAGAAACATTAGCACCTGGCCCCGGCACATCCAGTGCTGGGGTCTGCTGGCTGAAGCAAGCCCTGGTTAAGACCTGCTGGGGCTCGGAGGGCAGGGTGGGAGTGGGGCTGCGGCCGGCTGGGGACACCTGAAGAAGCCCTGCTGGAAGGCAGAGAGGCGGCGTGTCTTGCGGATGAGCACGTCAGCGATCTGGCACATCTCGATGCTGATGAAGAACACGGTGTAGCAGGTATACTGCTGGTACAGGCGCTGCCCGAACGTCTGTGGACCCAGAGGAAACAAAAGCTGCCTGAGCCCAGGCGGAGAGCCTCTGCAGCCAGCCAGGCACACGGGGCCTGGGGCCACGAGCCCCTCAATACTCTGTCCTGTGTCAGAGGCTGGGGGGAGGGGGGGACAAAGGAGAGATGCAGGATCTGCCAGGTTTGCAGGACCCCAGAGTGCAGGGCCTAGAAACCTGGTCTGCTGAGCTTAGATGTCAGTGCCTGGCCAATCGGTAGGTCAGGTCAATGGCCTTCATAATGAAAGGAGGGATGCAGGATTTCCTGGGCACCCTAAAGGGAGCACCTGGGAAAAGGGAATTCGAACCCCAAGGCAGGGTACACAAAGTTTGGTGACTCCAGGACCCAGGAAGACAGCAAACGTTCAGCAAACAGTGAGCCAGACTGGCCTTTGAGGAATGCGGCACAAGCCACATTTACAGGGGGCAGCCATGGTTCATCAGTCCCTGTCTTCAGTATAACTATGTCTATACACACCACTCATTGTGTAAGGAACAATTACTATGCTCCAGGTACCAAGTGTTTTGCATGTATTATCTCACTGAATCCTCCCAATAATCCTATGAGGTAGATTGGTGGTATTCAAACTTTGACGTACATCAGAATCCCCCAGAAGAACTGGTTAAAATGCGGGCCCCACCTCTAGAGTTTCTGACCCCAGAGGTCTGAGGGAAAAACTGAGATTTTTCAAACAAGTTCCCAGGTGTTGCTGATGCTGCTGGTCTGGGGACCACAGTGTAAAAATCAATAAGGTGAAAGTCACCAAGATAAGACATGAGCATGCTGTCCACTTTAGAGGTGAGAAAACTGAGGCACAGAAAAGCAAGTGACTTCGCCCAGTGTCACACAGCTGTGAGGAGCAGTGGCAGACAATGAACCCAAGCAGTCTGGTTCCAAGATCTATTTTCTTAACACAACAGTAAATGTTC